TGCATTTGGATTTCAAACCCTAGGGCGAATTCACTAATCAAACTGCGTGAAGGCCCATTAAATGAACCCATGGCTCAAGTTCGGCTTTAGCCCAACAAAGAGAATTATGTGTAGCCCAAATAAAATGTTTTTGAGCCGAGATATGTTCGGTTTTCCAACACTTATTATAACCCATTCCAATTCTTCTTAACTATGACATTTGATTCACGTTTTACGGATCATTATGTTTGTAATGAAAGGGAAGTTTCCAGAATTAATGAAAGCTTTAATTTTAATTTTGAATTTAATTGACCGATAATAGTTACGAAACATATTCGTTTTGTCAATGAAATAGTAATCGATTAAAATAATATTACAAAATTGACTGTGGTTGTTTTATGCGGGGTCACTGCCAGTCACACTAGCGAAACCCGTGACAATGGCGCGTCACGGTTACGCTCGATGGACGCGTGGATCTTAATTCACCAATCCACGTGAAGAAAGAGAAACACGAACTTTTCGCGCATCCGGCACCTTGGTGGAGTCGTGGAGACGCTTCTTGCACCCCACACCCGCCTCTCCCACGCTCTCCTCCGTCTCTCTCTCTCTGTCTCTCCCGCTCGAGCTCGATCCTTGCACCTTCGATTTCGCTTGTTTCGGAGCCCTGATTTTCTGTTTTTCCGCGGTTTCTCTCCGTGAAGTGTCGGTTTCTGTCTTCGGTAGGCTTCTTTTCCTTTTGTTTTCGTTTTATTCTCGTCCGATTCTGTGTGTTTGAAACTTTGAATGTGTCGTGTTTCCCCTGTTTGGTTTCCGAGAAAGTAGAAGGGTTGAATTCTAGGGATTTTGGGACTAACCCTTGTTAGGTCGACGAAATTTCAAAACTTTTCAGTTGAGGAAGTATGACTTTCGGGTTCAGTTAGGTCAGACGGTTCGAGCTTGATTCCCGAATTATTGAGGATCATTCGAATTGTTTAATCGTTTGAAAATGGAACATGTCAGGATATATCTGGGTGTTTTTATTAATCTGTTAGATAAGAATGGAGCTATTACGAACATTTTGTAATTATTCACGTCCGTTTAAATATATAAATGGATTCTGGATCTGAGATGAATAAAAAAGGTTTGCTCCATGTGGATTGGATTCTTGGAGTGATGGTTGTTTCTTCTATTTCTTTATTAACTGATCCACTGTCTTGTCGCGTGATTCATTGTTTGGTAAAGCATGTTGCTTTTCTGTTGTCTTCGAGCATGTTGACACATCTTCTGTCTTCTACCATTATGTAAATCTGCTTCATTTCATTTGTATTTGATCAGAATCAGATGCAACTTGGTCTCTCTCTCTCTCCTCTGGTTGATTCTTCGCCTATACATAGATTCTCAATCTCTCTGTGTGAACAGGCTTTGTGGTATAGGTATGGAGTAACTTGTTAGATTGATTGGTCTTTTGCTTACACATTCTTAAAATCATTGTTGATCTCATGAAAGATTAGTCTTGGTTTTGAACCTCAATTGGGTTCCTCGGTTTGATCTCACTCAGCCAATGAAGATTCTAGTTGTACTGTTGAGGGGGTTACCCTGATAATTTGTGGTGGGACCCTTCCCCGGAGCCCGCTCAACGGGGACGCTTTGTGCACCGGGCTGCCTTTTTTTACTTTTTATGATTGCTGGACTTTGCTTGCTATGGTCTCGTTTGTCTCGATGAATTTAGTTACAGGGAATTGCCGTCCTGGAAATGTTTTGCAAATGTTTTGGTATGCATTAGCAATTACATGTTTCATCTGTTTATGTATAATTCATTCGTCACTCTTGCTTGGAAAATGGCACTGTGTGAAGCTTTGCTCTGCTTTTTGTTGTTGACTTATACTCTGAAAAGGGCTGTGGTGGTTTCATGGGATGGGATCTTGTGTATCTGAGCCACATCAATGATTTATTCTTTGTAAATCTGATATAAGAAATATAGCTTCTTTTCATGCCATATGACTGTATCCTCAAATGAGTATATGCTGTTTTCGCGGCTGAGTTATCTTGTCTTCACCTCAAACCTTTCTCGTCTTTGGTACATGTGCAGGGTATTTTTTGTAAAGGAAATGGCCAAAGTTAGAAGAGCAAGACGCAGGATTGCTTCGCGCATCAGATCGAGACCCTACAAATTCCAATCTGCTAACCGAGTTATAGGAAAGAACAGATTTGCGGAAGAATGTCCTAAGGTGCTTGAGAAAAGGGACTGGGAAGATGTGGTATGCTCTGTTTGCATGGAATGCCCCCACAATGCTGTTCTTCTTTTGTGTTCATCTCACGACAAGGGTTGTCGTCCTTACATGTGTGGAACCAGTTTCAGATATTCCAACTGCCTTGATCAGTACAAGAAGGCGTCTGCTAAGCTAATGCCATCCACTCTGGAGCAGCCTACCAGTAAATCCGAGGTTTCGGACCTGACATGTCCGCTCTGTAGGGGCCAGGTGAAAGGGTGGACGATTGTGCAGCCTGCACGCGACTATTTGAATCTGAAAAAGAGGAGCTGTATGCAGGAAAGCTGCTCTTTTGTCGGAACCTTCAAGGAGCTGAGGAAACACATGAAAATGGTGCACCCGTCTGCTGGGCCACGTGAAGTGGATCCTGCGGTGGAGCAGAAATGGAGAAGGCTCGAGCTTGAACGTGACCGTGATGATGTGATCAGCACGATCAGATCGACAATGCCAGGGGCGATGGTTCTTGGGGATTACGTGATTGAGAGAAACACCTACGGTTCTGACTCAGAGGGGGTTGATGATATCAATGGCGGGCAGAGAAATGAAGGCGGTGGTGGGATAGACGCAGGGTTTGGTAGGAATCTCATGAATGTCTTCCTTCTGTTGCATGCTTTTGGGCCATCAGGGAGCCAGACAAGACGCCCAGACTCCACCATTGACCTGACATTATCAGACACAACCCTTGATTTAGCATCAGATGCAAATGATTTCGCAATAAACTGGCGAACAGGTGGCTCAGATTCCTCAGGGCAAGAAGATGACAGCTTTAGTAACTACCGGGAAGAGGGTAGGGGAATGTCGTTGGCAAGCCGGCTCAGGCGGCAGGGAAGGATTCTGCTGGGAAGATCAGGTAGGAGACGTAGAGACAGGGAAGCTAACCAAAACCCGAATCCTAGATGATACAAAACCGAATCCATTTGCGGGGGTTCCTGGTAAGTAAGTTGTGTTGTTGGTACAATGTAGCTTTAAAAAAAAAAGATTCCAAAAAAAAAAAGGGTGTCAAACCGTGAAAACCCCTTTCTGTTTTTAACATCAAAATATTTGGGATTCTGCAATGGCCACCAGAAGGTGGAGAAAAGGAGGGTTCAAATAACTCCTCCGTCTCTCTCTCTCTCTCTCTCTCTCTCTATAT